CTTCTCCGGGCACGGGGGAGAAGGGGGCGACGTGTCGGGGTTCAGTTCTGCCTTGGAAGGGGGTGGGGGTGGGTTATCCTGTGCCTTACGGCCCCCCCGCGCCTCCCCCCGCAGGGCCGTCACTTGCGGTAGCCCGTGAAGCGCAGCGGTGGAGGGGGACACGGGGGAGGACAGAGGGGGTGCTGGTGCGCAGCAGCTGCTTGGCATTAAAGCCACATGTGGCATTCACTCCTGTCTTGTGATCCAGGGGTCAGCTGGGAAGGTAGCGCCGTTTTGGTGAGAGCTGTGGTGCAGCAGTTCTAGCTTCGTTCTGCGCCTGACTATCACTGTTGATAAGTTTATTTGTGCCAGGGGATACCCTAATCAGAAAGGCAGGAGTTTGCGCTGTCTCAAAAAGCCAAAGTGACAAATTATTACGGAACAGATGCGGGCAGTGTTTCATCTGCGCGTAGTCCCAGCAGGATCACTTTTGGACCCTCTTGGGATAAGTATGGCCAAATCGGCTGCTTAAGTTTGCAAAAGACTTCACGGTAGCCCCCTCATACTTTTCTCTCCTCCCCTGTCCCACCAAAGAGGGGAGATCCTTCAAACTGCAAACTTCCTGCTTTGCTGCCTTGAGATCTGTGAACTTTCTGCTTATTATCATGAAAGAGGAAATTCTCAACTTGGCTGTGACAGGGCGAATAAAAGCACAGACACTGGAGTGAAATAAGATCTACGGAGTAGCTTATTTTCTCCATATGTTTATCCTCAGCAGAACCATGAAAAATGGTAAATGGTCCAATGTGTTTTCTGCTTTTTTTTTTTTTTTAAAAAGTTTAACATGTTTGTTTGAGAACGTAGCTGTGCGATTGTGTTCACTTGTTTTACTTGTTAAAAAGTATCTATCCTAAGGGAATGTTCTTCAATATTTTATCTTAAGCCCCAAATTTGGCGTACGTCAGAGTCTTAGGGCATTTCAGCAAATTTAAAGGATTTGTAGCATCTTTAATTTTGGACTCTGCTGTTTTAGACATAACAAATATTGGTAATAAGCAATAAGTGCTCAGCTTCTTCTAAAGAGCAGACTGTATATATTTCAAGTTGCATCCAAATATTGACTTCAGTAATGTCTTTTTGCAGTTTGGATCAAGATGAGCTAAATAAATCATATAGAGAAAAGGAGGAGGGCTGGAGTTAATATGTGGTTCTATGGCAAATTTTTCATATTCATTAATGGTTGTGAACAAGGTTCAAGTGACAGTTTGGAGTGTAAATCCTTCACACAGTTTGGAGATGTGAATCCTTCACAGGGAAATGTCATGTGTTTTAATTGTACCTCAGCCTTGGTTTGAGGAAACAACTTCTGAGCTTTCCTTTGGCCTACCTGGTAGGACTGCTGTTGAGACTAGCTATGGTGGTGGATGTATGAGGGCCACTGGACTAGGGCCAGTATGGAGACCATCACATTTATTTTACATAAGCCATCAAAAGCATCATTGCACTTGTTCCTATGGTTACTTCTTCATCTGGAGGCTAGATCCTTTCATTTAGGTGTCCTAGGCTTATGGTTTCCTGTCTTTTTCTTAAAACCATTATTAGTCCTAGGATCAGCGCTTCTGAGACACAAACACCATCCCAGCTTACTTTGTTTCTCATCATGAGGTGGTCTTGGGGCACACAAACTGGGTTCCTTTTGGCTGAAAGTGAACTGGAAGGTTTTCTGTAGGAGAACATCCTAATGAGTGTACAGTTCCTGGGACCAGACTAGAGCTAGTCTGAAGTGACCGCCCCTGCCAACACTGTGGGATCCCAGCACTGAGTATTTCTCTGTCCAAACCCTATTCTGTTTTCCAGGACATCTTGTTAAAGTAGAGGCAGCCCAAGGGGTTGAAGTTCCAATAAAAGTTAAGAGTTAGGCTTTCCGGTCACCTCAACACTGTCAGTGGAGCTTGTGGTGGTAGAAACCATGTTTCCTTTATGACTGAGAAGCTGAAGCCATTTATAGTCTTCCTAACAGTTTGCACAGAGTACCTGCACTTTTTACTGAAGTTAACAGGAACAGAGAATGCTTACAAATACTTAAAGGGAGGGTGCCAGGGGGATGGGAGCAGCCTTTTTTCAGTGGTGCCCAGTGATAGGACGAGGGGTAATGGGCACAAACTTGAACATAGGAAGTTCCGTCTTAACATGAGGAGGAACTTCTTTACTTTGAGGGTAGTGGAGCACTGGCACAGGCTGCCCAGAGAGGTGGTGGAGTCTCCCACTCTGAAGACATTCAAAACCCGCCTGGACGCCGTCCTGTGCAACCTGTTGTAGGTGACCCTGCTCTGGCGGGGGGTTTGGACTAGATGATCTCCAGAGGTCCCTTCCAACCCTGACCATTCTGTGATTCTGTGAGTATGCACTTAGATAAATGAAAAAAATCCTGTGGTTTGAGGGTTATAGCCTATTTCTTCTGCAGGGTTACAGAATGTAATCTTTTATGATGTGTGTGGTTCATATGGAAAAGTATATTAGCACTTGTGTAGCAGTGGTGGGCAAGAGAGCTAACTTTTCACCCATTTGGACTGCAAATGCCATTTTGTGTATATGCTGTGTTGAGGAGGCAGTTAAATTAAGGAATAGAAAAATTCAGTTTTCTTCAGTTGATTATTCTTTTGTAGGAAAGGGGCGGTATATAAGTGAACTTTGTGTGGAAGCATAATGTACATCATACCACACCTAACTCATTTTTCTGAGTGCTTCGTGAGATCTTGTGAAGTGAATTGATAACGCGCACGACCCCTTCAGCTGAGGCAAAATTACACTGTCGCAATGGGCAGTACGTAATACAGACAGGAGTGGAAGTGAAGCATAAGCCTGATTTATCCGAGTGGTGGGAGGAGACCCCTGTTGCTGATGGGGTCCTGTTGGGGAAATGGGGCTTTGCCTGGTACAGATTGTAGCTGGCTGGAGAATGAAGAGATGGTAAGGAGGAAGTGACTTTGCTGGTGTGTGTCAACA